CAATGAAAAAAAAGAAGCAACAAATCAAAGAAGAGCGGCAAAAGAAAATATGAATGACATCAATAGTCAAACTGTTAATAGTGATTCTCAGTCTTTGAAGCCCTGAAACACTCTTTGAGCCTTATGAATCCTTTTCTTTCATAGCCAAAAACCACAGCCTACGTTACGTGCCTATAGAAGTCCTTTCTAATCAAGTAAGCAAGCAACCTAGAACAATAAACAATGCTCTCAAAATGCAAAGAATACTTTTTCATAAGATTCATGACATCAAGAATAAATTATTCATTATTATTCATGCTGATAAAAAAATAAATGTGCAAATAAAAAGACAAGTTCTTCTCATACAAAACCTCGAGCTTTTTCTCGAGTATTCATGCTGATAAAAAATAAATGTGCAAAAAGAGACAAATTCTTCTCATACAAAACCTCGAGTTTTTTCTCGAGCCCTCCACTCTGAAAACTTATAAAAGCAAAAGGTCATAATATCATGGCATATTTTCACCGAAGACCTCATTGCCAAACACAAGAACAAATAATCTCTTTTCCAAGAAAGAAAAATAACCAAGGAGTTACAAGATTTCAAAAGCAAATTGTTTTAGACTCACATCGAAATAATTTTTTGTGTTCAAAATGCAAGATCAAGATTTCAAGATTCATTCTAGACCCATATTCCTTCACCAAACAGAAAAAGGATAGATATGAGAGAATGACCTCTTAGAACCATTATTTATCCAAATCACTAAGAGAGCACACTTAGAGGCAATAACCAATACAAGGGGGCAACATTGTGTTTAAAAGGAAAAATTCTAGAAAAGGAGATGGTAATTTCCTTTAACCAGACAAGGGGGCATTTTGGTTTACAAAAGACAGCTTGATCCTTTCAGCAAGTGACACCGAATGTTTCTAGCAGTGAAACGAGGAGTAATGAGTAATCCTCTTAAATTATTTGACGAATCAGAAAATCTTTAGCAAGCAAGTGGGTCACGATGGGCACCAAAAATGCTGAGTTATACAAATAAATTTGGAAATAGACTTATATGAGCCAACTCGAGTGGGCTAGAAAGCTAAACTACAAAGATGACTCAAA